AAATGGCTACATGTAGCTCATATAAGGATGCAAAAAGATTCTGAGCATCATATGTTGAAGCAAAAAGATGACAAAAAGAAAGGGAAACAATTTATATGTTTGTGGAAAGGAAACTGGTTTTTAAAAATGTGGGTTCATTCATAAAATACAAAACTATGCAGCCGTAAACAAGTGAAAATGTGGCTCTGGCTGGTGTAGCTCAGTTGATTGGAGTGTCATCAGTAAAATGAAAGGTGATGGGTTTGATTCCAGTCAGGGCGCATACTCAGGTTGCGGAGTTTGATCCCTGCCTCTATGGAGGCAACCAATAGATGTCTCTCTCTCTCTCTCTCTCTCTCTCTCTCTCTCTCTCTCTCTCTCTCTCTCTCTTTCTCTCTCTCTTCATCCCTCTCCCTCTCTCTCTCTCTCTCAAATCCATATATATATATAATAATTGTATTTATATGTCCTAATAATGGAAGTTGTCAAACATCTATTACTAATAAAAAAAAAGCAAGTTGCAAAATAGTGTGATCCTACTTACATTTTCTAAATGTCAGGAGAGGAGTGTTTATAATTATATGTACCTATATTTCTGGGAGGTTAGTTAAAACTTTTGAAAATTGTAGTTACCCCTGGGAAGTGAGACTGGGGAGCAGGGAGGTTTCAGGAGATTGATTTTTATTTAATTCTGTTTATTTTGTCTTCTACTTGGAAGTTTTCCATGAACAAGAATGTTAAAGTTACAATCACAGACATTTGGGACCCCAAACATAGATATCCCAGTTCTGAAGACCTGAAGTTGGTCAGCAAATATGTATTTAGAATATCTCCAGGGTGATTCTGATACGGCGTCAGGGTTGAGAACCATTCCCCTGCAATATTGGCCTGAAATGACTGGTGGTGATAGCACCATTATTGCACAAATATACATATCTGGGCATGAATGTATGGTTAATTAATTAATTTATTTTTTCTAGAAAGGGGATATTATTAAATTATTTGTTCATTGTAGTATTTAAAGGCTCCTGAAATTCTGGAATAGATCCATATGCAATTATTCTAAATATTAAAGGCAGTTTAGAGATTGGAGAGCAGTAGAGGACGTAAAAATATTTTAGGCAAGGTTATAGTTTATAACTCTAGGTGGCATGTTGGGAAGAGATACAGGATATTGTAAAGGGTACTGCTGTGCCCTTGAACAGGTGGTAGAGCTCAGCACTGCATAATTCACAGGTGGAATGAGGAGCCATTAGGTATTTCCAACACTTAGCCTTCAGAAGACAACTCCATGTGTTGTCAGTATTTGTTGAGCTATCTGTGGGTTTGTGAACAGAATACCGTATTTTCTTGGGTATAAGATGTCCCATGTATAAGACGCTCCCCTCTTTTCCAACCCAAATTTAAGAAATCAATATTTTAAACATTTTTTCCTGGCTTTTCTCTTAAGGCCTACGTTTTGGGCATCTTAAGGAGTTGTTCTTCCTGTTTTCTCCACTGTCTGATCATACACTCAGTGGGAGGAGGTCCAAATTGTCTATCTGAAGTTCTGTTTCCATGCTTTTTTGCATAGCTGATTACATTTGGTTTGAATTTTGCAGAGTAAGACAATCGCTCGCTGGTATTTATCCTTTTATTTTTTGACATCTTTATGGGCTCAGAAAGCTCCAGTCCTTGTTGCATCTGCGCACTCTCCACCTCCACCTCCAATTACAGCATCAGCTGATGTCAGTAACAATAAGGCTCATGATTAGAAGAAGCCTGTTTGACAAGGTATGGGCAGTTAAGCATCCACACCCACGTGGCTCCATCCTCAGCTGACTTCCATGTATAAGACACCCCTCGATTTTCAGTCTAAGGATTTTAGAAAAAAAATAGTGTCTTATATACGAAAAAATATGGTACATTGTTTACTGTTTTATTATATAGATTAGAGGCTCAGTGCATGAATTTGTGTACCAGTGGGCTCCCTTGGCCTGGCCTGGGGGATCGTGCCAAAACAGGCTCTCAGACATCTTTCAAGGGATCCTGGATTTTATTTTATTTAAAAAAATATTTTTATTGATTTTTTACAGAGAGGAAGGGAGAGAGATAGAGAGCTAGAAACGTCGATGAGAGAGAAACATCGACCAGCTGCTTCTTGCAAACCCCCTACCGGGGGGATGTGCCCATAACCAATGTACATGCCCTTGACGGGAATCGAACCCGGGACCGCCCAGTCCGCAGGCCGACGCTCCACCACTGAGCCAAACTGGTTTTGGCAGATCCTGGATTTTGAGAGGGCACAGGCCAGACTGAGGGACCCCACCAGTGCACGATTGGGGCCAAGGAGAGATGTAGGAGGTTGGCCAGCTGGGAAGGAGTGTGGGAGGGCTCCAAGGCATGTCCAGCCCATCTCACTCAGTCCCAATCAGCTAGACCCCAGCAGCAAGCTCACCTACTGGTCTGAGTGTCTTCCCATTGGTGGTCCGTGCATATCATAACAAGTGGTTGAGCAGCCTTAGCATTATCATTAGCATATTATGCTTTGATTGGTTGAATGGCAGATTGATCTGCTGGACACTTAGCATATTAAGCTTTTATTATATAGGATGTTCTGTCTTATAGATGTGATAGCTTAATCTTAAAAACAAAATGCAAATATTTCACTAAGAGATTAGTGAAACCTGAAGAATAATGGCTAACCCTGACATATTTGGTTTGGGACTATTGAAAGCCATCCAAACAGCGTACACTCATTACTAGTCCTGAGTCACACTCTGTTGTTCACCTAGTATCTGGTACAGAAGAAAGTGGAATTCTCAGGAAGACCCATTTTTAGCTAAGGCAAGGAGATGGAGGAATTTGTGAAAGGAAAGAAGAGGGAAGTCTGTTTAAAATTAAAAGGAAATCCAGAGGTCAAATATGAAAGGGTTCAAAGGAAGTAGCACCAATCCTATCATAAATAAGAGGACAGTGAAATAGAATGTTATGCATTTTGGGAGGAGGCCAAATATGAAAGGGAAATGAAGCATAGTCTAATTACTGTAATTGGTCTTAAAGTTCTGTTTAACTCTCTTGTAAAATATTTTCTGTGCCAGCACTGACTATATCTACTGGGGGTCTAAGCCAAGGGAATGGATTAATAAGTGTTTGAGGTTCCTTTGCAAACTTTCAGCATAATATAGATGGCTGTGAGATAGCATATCATCTTCATACATCTCTCATAGTTATTTTTTGTACCAGCAAAATCTTTGGTTTATATTTAAAACTTCAAATTACTAAATCAGAGCTGGGTGCTCAATTTCAATGTAAATGTTGATTTATATTCCTGTGCTTAATATGGAATCCATGCCAATGATATCTTTATTAGCACCAGCTTCCAAGCAAATTTTCCTTAGTACATATTAATAAAGGGATGATGTATAGAAATTACCATTTCTATAAAGTATTTTTTTTCCTTATGCAAGGAATAATATTAAAGTCTTCTGAGTGGGGGATTTAAGAGGCAAGAAAGGAGTCACCCCATTTCTAATAGTTGAATTTGAGAAAAGTTTTATAGAAAATCAAGAGAGTAGGGAATGAGATTTCCATTATTGTAGGTCTGGAAATATTTTACAGATTTCATCAGCATGTGGACCATATATAGGTTGTTTGGTTTGGCTTGAATCATTCTGTTGAACTCTTGACCCATCTTTCACAAAACACTACCATGTTCTTCTTTCTATTCCTTTTGTTGCTGTCTGTTCACCTCATTTTCTCCTTCCTGAAATGGCTGACGTGGACAAATTTAGGTGACACAGAGCTCTTCCCCAATCAGCAGGTTCCTACTACCACCCAGGCAAAATTTAAGGACCTAAAGTTTCAAGGAACTCAGAAACTACAGTACACTTTTATTTTTTATTTATTTATTTTTTAAAAAATACATATATATATATTATTGATTTTTTACAGAGAGAAAGAGAGAGGGATAGAGAGTTAGAAACATCGATGAGAGAGAATCATGGAACAGCTGCCTCTTGCACACCCCCTACTGGGGATGTGCCCACAAGGAAGGTACATGCCCTTGACCGGAATTGAACCTGCAAGCCCTCAGTCCTAAAGCTGAGGCTCTATCCACTGAGCCAAACCGGTTTTGGCTACAGTACACTTTTAAATAGGTAGCAAGAGAGTTACTCATCTTCTAATGACTTCATCTACATATTTTAGCATTTTCTTGCCTTTGTATTTCCTGTTCTAATGTCCCCAAGTTTTTCTTTTGGTTCTAACTCCCACACTAACCCAACTTAGATCAGAATCCCTTGTTGTAGTACTTAAAGACCCACTTTTTTAGAGCATTTATATCCGCTTTATTTTATAAGTCTATTGGGTCTTCTTGCTTATCTCAATTTAAGAAACTAATTCTTCCTTGGCCAGTGTGGCTTAGTGGTTGAGCACCAACCCATGACCCAGGAGGTCACCGTTTGATTCCTAGTCAGGGCACATGCCCAAGTTACAGGCTGGATCCCTGGTGGGGATAGGGAGGGGTACTGGAGGCAGCCAATCTATGATTATCTCTCATCATCAATGTTTCTATCTCTCTTTTCCCCCTTTTCCCTTCCTCTCTGAAATCAATAAAAACATATTTTAAAAAGGAAATTAATTTTAGTGGATGTGAGTGACATGAAAGAAATGTAAAAAGCATCAAAAAACATCAGAGGTAAGAGGAGAGGAAAAAGACCTTAAAATTAAATTAAGTAATTTGCAAAGTATCTTTTCTGTCTCACTTCCCATAAACTTGTCTGTTATTTTCCAACTAACTGGTGAAGATGGTACTTATACAGATTTTTCCCTCCTAGAGCTCTAGAATTTTAAAATTATGTTTTTCCTTTCCATTCTTCTATCTATGTATTTTTCCTTATTTCTCATCCCATGGCAAAATTATTACTAATATCAGCCCTCACAGTGATAAAATTTTAGTGATGGTATGGAACTTACTAAATTACTAAAAGTAATAAAGTCCAACATCTACCTTTTATAGGTGAGAAAAATTGAGATCAAAGTTACATCATTTAGTAAGTCATGTATTTAAGTAAAGAACCAGTAGTGGAACCTAAGTTTTCTATCTTCCAATCAAGTCTTAATTTCCCTTTTCTTCATCTGCTCTTTTTGCCTGGGGTTTATATATATTGATAAAACAAAAAACAACAGAATGTTACTGTGATCCACAACCATATTTTCTTAGTTTCCTTTAATATCAAGTTATCATCAGATCGCATAATTTCCTTAAATTAGGAGTGAAATCACATTTCACATTAATTTCAAGGGATTATTTTTCATTAGTCAGCCTTATGCAACTAGCCAATTTGAATGTCTTGGAACTTATTAGAGGAAAAAATAAGGATTTCATAAATCAAATGGATAATTTTAAATTATCAATTGACTTCTTTCATAAAGAATGCTTCTTAGTAATTGTAAAACAATATAAACTTGAAAAATACTATTCTTGTAGACAGTTATGACTGGGTGCTTATGTGCTAACTACAATTGTATTTTCTGTCCTTATAGCTTAATTTGAAAATGGCGATTTCATTATTTTTGTTCCCAAAGTAATTTTTAGGTCACTCTTTTGGGGGCTGTTCATGTTGTTGACATTTTAAGATAGATTTAAAAACAATCTGTTCAGAATTGTTAGATATTATAGGAAGAAAAAGTATCCTAGGAACTTATAAGGGAGATCCCATACAAGGCAGAAAAAGTGTTATTGTTTCAAAAAAATTTTAGTTGACTTTATCTTTTTTAAAAAATATATTTTATTGATTTTATCTTTATTATTAATCATTTTTTGGAGAACAGGATGGTGCAGTGGGAAAACCCTACAAATCAAACCATAGCTTTGGAGCCAGATAGACTTACTTTGCATAACCATGGTGGAATGAATATCTTGGGATCTTTGATAAGCTGCTTGATATCCCCTCATTTCCCTCATATGGGAAATAATACCGCTCTCCCAAGATAATTTTAAGTGTTAAGTGAACAAATGTACGTAAAGCATGCCTCACACGAATTATATGTCAATAAATGTTTACATATTTTCCCCCAAAAGAAGATATACTCTGATTCTCAATTAAGCTTCCTCAGTAATATATTTATGTGGAGAATAAAGACTTGAGGGAGAGTGTAATTTTAAAAATTTAGCTCAAAAGCACCTTTTCTGTTCCCTCTTCTCACACACACACTCTATATGTTAAATCTTTCAATGTATGTGGAACCAGTTTGTATAAATTTTTATTGGTATCACTTAGTAATTATTACAAACAGTGAGAGATGTGAACCCTTTTGAGTCTTTACCATTTCTCAGGAGTTAGTGGTAGATAAATCCATGCACATACATTTTAAAGCCAATCTACCCACATCTTGGAGTCCAATCTCTGTTGTTTTTTTCTTTATTAAAGCAGTGAAGTATCAGTTGTTTCAATACTGTAACCAATCAAGCAACACTGGAAATTAAGTCCCAAAGCAGTGCACCTTTAGCAGATATTAAGACATTCCACGAGTCATAATAATCTATTTTCAACAATTTTATAGTCAATCTACTTCTTCAGCAACCACCTGGGAAGTATCTGGAGACAACTTGCTGGCTAAGTGCATTGATCTTGTAGAAGATATTTCACAGTTTGACCCCCTGAGACAGTCTGGTGAAAGACAGAGAAAATGTAACAAATAAATAGGTTAAGCTGGAAAGTAATCTAGGCGTTGGCACTGTGCTGGCCTCATGTAAGAGCTGTAGTTGTTCCTTGTTTCTTTACCCCAACGACTCTGTTGTTTAGAGTCTGCTCATCAGGATTGTTACCGAAGAACAAAGCAAAGTACAAACTATATCATGAGATCTTTCCAAGTGGGGACTTACAGAGGGTGTGTTTGTATCCTATCCCTATCGTATATACAAGTAGATGAAGCAAACTGTTAGTTCACCTGTACAGTTTAGTCTCCTAAAATGCCCCTCCCAACCTCCTGCCTCCCGCCCCCGCCCCCGCAGCATCTTCTTCTTTTGGTTTGATGGTTGAAGTCTGGAACGCAGGAAGCTCTCCTTGGAATGAATAACAAACAGCAAGTGCCGGCCCCTTCCCCAGCGCCGTCTTACACCAACTTGACGCAGGATTTTAGGACATAAAGGCGCATTCGCGGCGGTTCCCCATTTTCCCCTCCAGTCACTACCCCGTGGGTGGCGCTGGCTCCAGAACGTCCAGTGAATCCGTGTTTGCAGGTGACTTGCAAACAGAGGACAAAATCTCGCACAACAAGTAAGGCGTAGGGAGCCCACTGGCACCCACATCCTCCTCAGGTCCGGGGGCTCGGCGTCTTCCCTTGGAGCCTCAAGTGCCCAAAGCGGGAAGTGAGGGCTGGCGAGGGGCTCCCTCCAGGTCAGTGCGGCCACCATCTCACCTTCCTCCCCCTCCTCTCCCTCCCCACTCCCCCGGAGGCCGATCCCGCTGCCTCCCACTCTGCCCCCATCTCCAGGGCCTTCCAGAACTCCATGATCGCACTTTTCTTCCAGGAAACAACAGCTGGGAACGAAACATTGCGCTCCAAAATCTCGCCGGAAACCTCTGGCCCCACCTCTCTGCCTTGGGCTGCGGTTGAGGGTCCAGGGTGGGATCCATAAAAGTACGTTGCAGCCTCCATTGGACTAGGTCGGTGATGGGGAGTTGGGGAGAAAAGAAAAGTCGTTGCGGGCAGCGGGTGCGCCCGCCCTCAGTCCCCCGCGGTGGCGCGCAGGTAGCGGACGATGTCCCGGTGCCCACACTCCTCGGCCAGGTCCACGGGCAGGCGGCCCCAGGCGTCGCGCACGGCCAGCCGCGCCCCGGCTCGGTGCAGCGCCGCCAGCGTGTCCAGGAAGCCCTCCCGGGCCGCGTCGTGCACCGGCCGCGTGCAGGTGGCGGGGTCCGCGCAGTTGGGGTCCGCGCCGTGGGCCAGCAGCAGCTCGGCCACGCGGGTGCTGCCCATCATCATGACCTGCAGGCGGGACAGAGCAGAATGAAGGTCAGGGCGAGAGGGAAGCGAGAGGCAGGCCCGGGCAGGGACAGGCAGGACCACTTCAAACATAGGAAGCATCTACTTGATGCACAGGTGCTGCTCACCAGCCCCAGGAATCTGGTTAAGTTTCATTTGCTGAGCAGTATTTCCCCCTCTCTCAGTCCCCCCACCCATTCCAGGTATAGTCTTTACTGAGGTTCAGTTTATTTTTCCAAATATGCAAGAAAGAGCTGATGATAATGTGCTTATCTTCATTGTGAGAAAGAAGAAAAAGGTGGACTTCCATTTAAATATGGCAATCTATTTTGTTAGGTGACTTATAGGTAGAGTTAAGTTTAAAAGTCTTTAAAATCTTAAATTATTTCTCTTGTTCTGCCCTCTCTCCCCAGACATAATCTGTGTCTAAAAATCGTTATTAGGCAGTCAGCTGATGCTGTATTTTAGAAGTTAGAGGACACGAGAAACAACTAAATTTAAAATAAGGCTTACTTTGTTTAATTCTCACAGTAAATCCCCAGTGGAAGGCCTTTGCTTTTCAGTCACATACATCTGTGCTTATAAATGTAATATAATCCTAAAATTTGAGCCAAAATTGGAGGTATAGGGGAAAAAGTAAAGAAAGATACACATTGTTTATAAAATAATGAAAACTAATTATTTGTTGTTAATAAATGGTTCCCCATTTTAAGTATTTAAATTAATGTTATAGAGTAGGCCCAAAGTTTAGAGGGTGGTAGATTTAATGTAACATGTAATTTAATACTATATTTACTTTGTATAGGATTTTATAATATTACATAGTAAATGTTTTGCTATATGAAAAGAACTTGGATGTCAGTAGTTGAATCAGAACAATGCATAACTTAGAAAAAGGATGTATGGAGCAGTAATCCTATAGCACCCATTTGTATAAATATACATTATGCAAACATCTACTTCTTTAACAATAAAACAATTTTGTCAACCAAATATCCAAAGTGGAATTATTTGTTCTTGTGACTTTGTGTTTTAAAATGTACTATGTAACTGAAAGATAGTATACTAATTTTTTTGTTTTGTTTCATGAATATTAGAAGCATCCAATTCCTTGCTTAAAAACCAAGATAGGTTATTATTCTTACTAGTGATATAAAGGCTGTTTCACATATAGAGAGGAGGAAGGGGGCAAGTGGTTCTTAATATCCCAGAAAATGGTGAATTAAAATTATAAAACATATTTATGCAATTATTAGTATAATTTGAAGTCTTTAACAACCAACTGTACCATATTTTTGCTACTTTAAATCATCCCTCATTTCTTGTAACACTTTTCTATGAATTCTAAAGGAATTAATATATATTTTCTTTAAAATCTACACTATTAGCAAGATCCATTAATAAAAGCTTGGTTCTGTAAGGTACTAATTAAAGTGGAAATAATAAAATGTTGAATAAATGTATTTCAACAATGAAGTGGCTAATTATTTATGAAGTCTCTTTATTTAAAAAAGTACCTAACAATTGCTGCCGGGAATGCTTTTGTAATCCAAGCATTCAGTATGGCAATTAAGCAGTAAAAATCCATAGAATCATTTTTTCTTATGTAATGCTCAAGAGATAATGCTAACATTAAAAAAAGAGTACGTATTGTGATTTAGGAACCCTGACTTGTTCCTCTGTTTAGAAAACAGAATGCAAAGAATTCCATATTGCAGCTTCACAGTGAGTTTTCCCCCCCTATGTACTCTGATTCTGTGTGATTCTTTAAATCCAATACAGAATGTGTAAGTCGTAATTTATCTCTGATCCCGAGACGGGAGAGGATATACTGATATTTCCCCCATTACTAAAAAGAACAAATTTATGCAGTGGGTTTTTTTATTCCTTTTTTTTTTTTTTAAGGATTTTTGGTGGGTGAACACCTGCTTTCCATCTGGGCTCCACACCTCTGTGCTAGAGAGAAACAGTGGAGACCCAGGTCCCAGAGGCGCCCCGGGGAGGCCGCGCCCCCGCGTTCGCGCGCCCCCTGCCGACGAGGCCCGGGGCCCCAGGTACCTGGAGCGGACGCCTCCCGAAGCCGTTGACTCCGTTGGGATCGGCGCCCGCCTGCAGGAGCTGCCGCACAGCCTCCACCTGCCCCCGCGCCGCGGCGCTGGCCAGACCCGTGTCGCTGCTGCTGCCGCCTCCGAGCTTGACCTCCTCTTCTTCCCACATTTCGCAGGCGCCAGGCAAAATCGGGACGGTCCGCTGCTGGCCCCTGAGCTTCACCACGCTCCTCGCTCGGTCCCCGCGTCGCCCGGGAGCGCTCTCTCCTCGGGAGAACCTCGCTGGCTTGTCCCCTTTCGCAGCTCTTTGTGACTTGGCGGCTCGTGCAAAGGCCAAACGTCGTCAAGTCGGGCTTTCCTGGGCGAACGCGAATGAGCGGACGCGCCCAGCTCGCTCCCAGGAAAGGCGCCTGGTGCACGGGCTGCGGCTGCACGTGCTCCGGCTGCACGGGCTCCGGCTGCACGGCTCCGGCTGCACGGGCTCCGGCTGCACGGCTCCAGCTGCACCAGCAGGAGGAAGCGTCGAAGTCCCAATCGCACTGTGAGCTTCTCGCCGAGTGCTTTGCTAGCGGGGAGTGGAGCCGTTTGGTCCAGCGGGGCGGGGCGTCGCCTCTCCCCACCCCCTTCGGCTCCGCCCGCAGCCCGCTGGCCGGCACGGCTACGGTGGCTTCCCGGCCGCGAGGCGGGGCCAGCAGAGCTGCTGAGGACACGGTAGGGGCGGGGAAGGGGGAGTTGACGAGGTAGGGGCGGGGATGGGGGCGTGGAGCTAGCCCAGACGGTGCTAGGACGCATGCGCCAGACGCATGGAGCTCGGAGGCCCAGGCCTGGCTCGCCCAGAGTCCAGCAAAGTCTTGGCGGTGGAATCAATGTACTCAGCCCCTCCCTCCAGCAGGCGGAGCAGAGTATTTCTATTCCTTCAGCCCCAGGTCCACTGGCTGGTTTCTCGCTGGAGATGTTAGTTGCTCCCCGCAGAATCAATGACAGAAAGACACTTAAAATAATTCTGTGTTAAGATGTCTGAAAGTGACAGCTCTGCACCGGTCATGCAGGTTATATTCACCCCCGGGCAGTACTTGAACTTCACTAGCTTCACATGTTGCGTCAACCCTAGCAATTTTCTTTTGGGTGTGTCTTTTTATTTGAATCAGTATAAGAGAGAACCCCCGAGAATCCTGTTTTGAATGTACTGTTTTATTATTTTCATCTTTGAGTTATGGTTACACTCCTTTAAAACAAAAACAAAACACGACTTTTAGATTAGATTGAGAGTGACAATATGTCAGGCACCTAAAAATATAAATATGTATTTAAGAATTTGAGATCCCACTTTCATGATATTTGGACAGTTTATTTTTGTTTGCACTCTTACCTATTAAAACTCAGCAAGTATTTAATTTTTACTTTTCATGAGTAATAAAGGAAATTTATACAGCAGTAATGAAACACAATAAAACAGGGGTGTGGTGCTGGCCTGTCATTAAACAGGTTGAACCTGTCATTAAATCCTCTTCTGAAGATTTAAAGGCCAAGTGCTTTTCTTCTTAATCTTCCTAGCTGAGTTTGCATCAATGCATTGCTTCGAAGATTTAACAAGTTATAGCTGATGCTTGATTGAAATAGGAAGGAAATCACAAGTTATGTGTCTGCTGCCTAAAAACTACAGGAGAGTGGGTCTCTCCTAACACTGAATCTCTTTTATTTACATCATTTTTGGTTCAGAGTGAGTGCCGAGGAGGAGGACTCTTAAGGGAGGGCAATTGTTTGCTTACTTACAAAGAAGAGTCCATGTGTTTCTTCTGGCATGCCTTAGCTGGGACTCCCCTCCCCTCAGGCCTGTAGAATGAGGAAGAGCTCTTTAAAGAAAGGAAGGCCTCTGGAAGTGATAGTTTGGGCTGGAGATACACTGACTTTCAAGAGAGTGGAAATTCACCTGGATGGGGAAGAGAAAGAGGCAGTATTAATAACAATTATTTCCCTCTCACTCTACCCTCATATTTTAGGTTTCAGTTTCTTAGTTTCACCTTATTGAGCCTCTACTCCTATCTGGAAAGAGAAATTGTCCCTTTTGTTTGTTGATGATGGCTCTATTCCTTCATCTGACCTTTGGGTGAGACAACCCAGTGAGTTGTTTTTGTTTAGTCTTTGGGACCTGTATTTATGCACTGTATTGGGAATTACAGGTATGTAAGTGGAATTGGAGGAAGAGGAAGAAAGATAGACAGTGAGAAGCCAGAGTCTTTGAAAGAAATGACATTAGTTCTTTGCTAGTCACTCTCAGGGGCTGAGTCACTAGACTGATATAGGTGGATGTGGTGGCAAATGAATTCAGTCCAGGATATCCTTATCAGAATAGCCTAGTTACTCTAAAATTTAGTGCACATCCAAATGTCACAAGGCAGGCTGTCTTTTATTTATTTTATTTTTTTAAATATATTTTTATTGATTTCAGGGAGGAAGGGAGAGAGACAGACACATCAATGATGAGAATTATTGATCGGCTGCCTCCTGCACGCCCCCTACTGGGAATCAAGCCCACAACCCCAGCATTTGCCCTGACTGGGAATTGAACCTGTGATCTCCTGGTTCATAGGTCAATGCTCAACTACTGAGCCACACCAGCCAGGTTGCAGGTTGCCTTTTAAAGGCATCTTGTTAGGGGAGGCAGAGGAGGGTAAAAGTGGGCAAAGCAGTGGCGAGGCAATGGGGACTCCTGCAATAATGTCAACATTGAAACATTTAAATGAAATAAAAATGTGTTGTTGGGAACTTTTTTCCAATGGATCCAGTAATTAAATTTAGTTCAACAAAACTTAGTCCAGGAAAAAACAGTTGAGTAAGATTTAGGTCCTAGCTTTTATTTATTTATTTTTTTAATATATTTTATTGATTTTTGTACAGAGAGGAAGAGAGAGAGAGAGCTAGAAACATCGATGAGAGAGAGTCATCGATCAGCTGCCTCTTGCACACCCCCCACCGGGGATATGCCCACAACCAAGGCACATGCCCCTGACTGGAATCGAACCCGGGACCCTTCAGTCCCCAAGCCGACGCTCTATCCATTGAGCCAAACCGGTCCCGGCAGGTCCTAGCTTTTAATTAACTCCCCCAATGGCACGGAGAACTAATAAATAGAGAGTTTCAATTTAATATAATAACTTTACTGAGACTTGTGTTTACAGGGTATTTGGGAAATAAGGAAGAAGGGAACTTAACTCAAGATCCAGGTGCAGCTGAGAAGAGTCTTTAAAGAATGCATTGGAAATTAACTATTTCCTGTCTTCTCACCTTGAATTTCTTTGAAACTTAACAAAAAGGTTAGGAAAAGATAGCTTGAGCCAATCTTTTCTTGTTTTTTTTTTTTAATCCTTACCTGATGATATTTTTTCCATTGTTTTTCCCCCTCCCTCATCATTTTATTTTTTAATACATATTTTTATTGTTGGTAGTATTACAAATATCTTTCATCTTCTCTCTTTTCTCCACACTCTTCCCAGCACCCCCCCCCCTCACCCCCCCCCATAGCCTGAGTCCATGGGCTATAAGTTCTTTGGTTTATCTTTTCTTATTCCCCAAACCCCACATTGAGGTATGGAATAGACTAGCATACCTCAATTGATTTTTAAAAATAATTACATCTATATCTATATCTATCTATCTATCTATCTACACACACACATACATACATATGTGTCCTTATTCCCATACCTCAATTAATTTTTAGAGAGAATGGAAGGTAAGAAATTTTTTTTGGGGGGAAACATTAATGTGAGAGAGACACACCAATTGGTTGCCTTCTGCATGGGCCATGACCAGAGCTGGGGATTGAACTGCAACCCAGGTACAATGCCCTTGACCAGGAATTGAGTCTGTGATCCTTCAGTGCATGGGCCAATGCTCTAACCACTTAGAAACACCAGGCATGGCACTTGAGTCAATTTTTGAGCCACTTTCTTAGGTGGTAGGCATTGTCAGTGTCTGAAAAATAAAAACTATTTTGGGGTGATGAGATGGAAGATACTTTTTGTTTGGTTTGGTTGGAAGGAACTAGATAAAAACTGGCAAGACAGGTGAAAAGCCAGTGGGTAGAATGACTGAGACTCTACCATGAGACAGATGTGTGAGCTTCACTAAGCAAGTTCACTGGCAAAGAACTTTGGGCAGGCGAAGTTTTGCCAGGGGTATGCGCGATTGCTAGCACCACGGACAGCGCTTTCCTGCGACGATTGTCTGGGTGGTCCTAATACTCTCCAGCCTGAGGATTCCTGAGGAAACTTAAAACTTGATTTTCCAAAGCCCTTTCTCCCCTGAAATTAAAAGAGAATCACATGGAAGCCAAAGTGCTCACTCAACATGGTGTCCAAATATTATTGGATTACCCAATATTCTATATGTAAAGAATATTAAATACCCTCTATATTTAAAAGAAGAGAGGAGGCATTTTACTTATTGTTCCAAGTGCTTGACAAGTATTATTTCATTTAATCCTCATAAAACCCTTATGCAACATGCAGTTATATCTCAATTTTACAGACAAGACAAAAGTATCAGAGAAACTAAGTAAGTTGCATTCTAACTAATAATGGAGGTAGCATTTAATCTGTGTGGCTTCAGAGCATCTACTCTTTTCATTATATTGTTTTAGCAGCTGTCATGGTAGGCTTAACTGGGAAAAAAAGTGCAATAAACTGACTTTTTAATTATTTCCCATTCTATACTGTATTTTCCAGATGGCTTACCTCCCAGCATACCCTTCATATACTTCAAAGATGACATTTTACATGCAATACAATAGCACATTTGTCTTGGGCAATAGAGTAAGATAATGAAACATTTTACCTCTTCCTGAAACCCAGCTGTCTCTGGGATGAAATACAACCCGTAACACTTTGAACACATTTAAGAGATGGGATGGATGGGAACATAGTGGGCAGTTGAAACTTAAAATTGTCACAACTATACCTTTTAATAGGGTGGATGATTTATAAGTGAGAAGAGATAGAAAGTAAATTAGTATCAAATTTTGGATGTAAATAGAAAGGAATGAATAGTGTCAGTTACAGTATCATAAGTAATGCAGACATCCAGTGATAATGTTTATATTTTAGTTGGTGAAACTACATATGAACTCACTGAAAAAGTGTGAATAGAATCAGTTGAGTGACCAAGAGA